TGGACTCAGTCCGGTGGGGGCCTTGGTAGCTGTGGACAATTAGTCCTTTGGACTAATCTTTTCCTTGTATCCTTTTCTCTTCATTCTCCCTTGCTCCCGAAGGGATGAGACCAGTCTCACTGTAGTTTTAATTCACATTTCTCTAATAGCTAATGATCGTGAGCATTTCCTGATCTGTCTCTTAGCTGCCTGAATGTCTTCTTTGGTGAAGTGTCTGTTCATAGCCTTTGCCCATTTTTTAATTGAATTATTTGTTGTTGAGGTGTTGAAGTATTTTATAGACCCTTGTTGGATATGTCATAGACAATTTTTTTTTCCCAGTCTGTGGGTTCTCTTTTTACTCTTTTTGTGAAGTCTTTTGATAAGCATATAAGTGTTTAATTTTTAGGAGCTCCTAGTTGTCTAGTTTCTCTTCTGGTGTTTTTGCATCGTTAGTTATGGTTTGTATTCTTTCTATGCCATGTATTAGGGCCCCGAGGGTTGTCCCTATTTTTTTTTCCATCATCTTTATCATTTTAGGTTTTATATTTAGGTCTTTGATCTATTTTGAGTTAGTTTAGTGTATGGTGTTAGGTATGGGTTACATGCTGTGTTTTGGTGGAGCACCAGATGAAGTAGTTGGCTTATATTTAGGGGGCATACTGTGTTACAAGGAAGTCTGGTGGTGTGGTTGTTAAATGCTCAGCTGCTAACCGAAAGGTGGGCTGTTTGAACCCACCAGTCCCTCCTCGGGAGAAAGATGTGACATTCTGCTTCTGTAAAGATTTACAGCCTTTGAAACCCCATGGGAGAGTTCTTCTGTGTTCTACAGGGTCTCTATGAGTCGGAATCAGCTCTATGGCAGTGGGTCTGGTTTGGTTTACTGGGTTACAAAAGAAAATACTCCTTTAAATCCTAGAATCACACCTGGCCAGTTTGGTGTTCTGAGACCTTCAAAGGAACAGCAGATTCAGGCTTTCTCTTCACTCTCATTTCAGCGTGAGTAGTCTGTGGCAAAATAACAGACCAGTATGCACTATTTACATTATTTCTTTGTTTTGTTTTGCTTAGTATAGACAGTTGAATTCCAGTAATTGGACATGTTATGTGATTGTGCTCTACGTATTTCTAGTGAAAACGTTTTCTATATACATTTGCATGACTCAATTTATTTTGCTAGTTTTTGAGTGGCTCCTGTGTACCAAGCATGGTTCTAAGTGCTAGGAATAAATCAGTGAGTGAAACAAAGTCCTTGCTCTCAGTTGCGTATAGCGGGATGAGACAAAATAGACTCCTATATATGCTGATTTTTTCCCCATTTAGTCATTTGAGTGACTACATATACTATCACAAAGTGTTTAGCAAAACTCATGTTATAGGAGTTTAGGTTTTTCCACCTGCAGAAAAATGCTGTAAAGATAATGCATATATTCTAAATATATTTTATTTTTTCTTAAATTACAATTTCTAGAGTTGGAATTACTAGTCAAATAGCATGCATAGTTTTTTTTTTTTTTTTTTTTT